TCAGTGGCCAGCCCTTCTGTCCCAGGGCTCGGAGCCCGGGAGGACGCCCACCTCCTCCCTCACCCCAGCCTCCGCGCTCCCCCACGACCTCGGCCCTCTGGGATGGAGGTGCTGGTAGACGGGCAGCGGCTTCTTAAGCCAGAAGCAGAGCCGTGTCTGAAGTGCTGCGGGAGGTGACGGTTCGCCAGGCGGCTCAGTGGGCAAACCAGGCTCCAGGGTGAGGCCGAAGTGCCGGCATTTAGACCAAACGGGAGAGTGGGACTCCTGGGCAGGGACGAGCGGGTCCCAGAGGCGGACACCCTCCCCGGGCCCGCCCGGCACTGGGCACGGCTCCCGCTGTCTGAGGGAAGCCCTTTGCCTCAGAAGCCTCCCAACTCCCGGTGACAGTGCCTTCGCTGTGACTGAGGACGGCCCCTCTGCCGGCAAACGGCCAGGGTCCAAGGAAGCTGTGCCACACGCCGTCTCCAGGCCCCCGGCCGTCCCCGTGCACACGCTCACCTGTGGCCGTGAGCAGCAGCGAGCAGTCCTGGCCGTTGAGGTACTCCATGGCGGTGACCCGCGTGTACCGGGGGTTCCCGTTGTGGAAGTAGTCCAGCTTCTCCCCTTTCTCCCAGTCCCAGAAGCTCCAGGGAGCAAGAGAGGAAAGCGATGAAACCGGGGACGCCGCCTCCAGGACGGCCGTCATGGCCACACTACGTCCCCCCCACTGGTGCCGTGTGCACACACTCCCCTCCCCCCACAGCTCGCACTGGTGCCGTGTGCACACACCCCCCCACACACACACTGGTGCCGTGTGCACACACACTCCCCTGACACCTCGCACTGGTGCCGTGTGCACACACTCCCCCCCACACACACTGGTGCCGTGTGCACGGACGGCCGTCATGGCCACACTACGTCCCCCCGACTGGTGCCGTGTGCACACACTCCCCTCCCCCCACAGCTCGCACTGGTGCCGTGTGCACACACCCCCCCACACACACACTGGTGCCGTGTGCACACACACTCCCCTGACCCCTCGCACTGGTGCCGTGTGCACACACTCCCCCACAGCTCGCACTGGTGCCGTGTGCACACACCCCCCCACACACACACTGGTGCCGTGTGCACACACACTCCCCCCACAGCTCGCACTGGTGCCGTGTGCACACACCCCCCCACACACACACTGGTGCCGTGTGCACACACACTCCCCCCACAGCTCGCACTGGTGCCGTGTGCACACACCCCCCCACACACACACTGGTGCCGTGTGCACACACACTCCCCCCACAGCTCGCACTGGTGCCGTGTGCACACACCCCCCCACACACACACTGGTGCCGTGTGCACACACACTCCCCCCACAGCTCGCACTGGTGCCGTGTGCACACACCCCCCCACACACACACTGGTGCCGTGTGCACACACACTCCCCCCACAGCTCGCACTGGTGCCGTGTGCACACACCCCCCCACACACACACTGGTGCCGTGTGCACACACACTCCCCCCACAGCTCGCACTGGTGCCGTGTGCACACACCCCCCCACACACACACTGGTGCCGTGTGCACACACACTCCCCCCACAGCTCGCACTGGTGCCGTGTGCACACACCCCCCCACACACACACTGGTGCCGTGTGCACACACACTCCCCCCACAGCTCGCACTGGTGCCGTGTGCACACACCCCCCCACACACACACTGGTGCCGTGTGCACACACACTCCCCCCACAGCTCGCACTGGTGCCGTGTGCACACACCCCCCCACACACACACTGGTGCCGTGTGCACACACACTCCCCCCACAGCTCGCACTGGTGCCGTGTGCACACACCCCCCCACACACACACTGGTGCCGTGTGCACACACACTCCCCTGACCCCTCGCACTGGTGCCGTGTGCACACACTCCCCCCTCTACACTAGTGCTGTGTGCACACACTCCCCTCCCCCTCCCCCCCACCCTTGTGCACACACTCACCAGATGCTGTCCTTGTCCGCGACAGCCACGCAGGGCGTGAAGGGGTGGAACTTGACCACGGAGGGGACGCCGGGGTTCCTGTTCAGGAAGATCTGGTCGTCTAGCCGCGTGATGCCTGCACAAGGGACGCACAGCGGCCTCAGCCACGGCCAGACGCGGGCCTGCACCCGGGCCTGGGCGGGCCGCTCCCCCTCTGAAACGTCACATGCAGGAGCCGCACTCGTGGGGGCGGGAACCCAGGCTGTGTGGGCCCCGCCTCACCCCTCTGGATGAGCTGCTGCGCCTGCCTCCGCACGCGGCTGTTGCGCAGAAACCGCCACTCCCGCTCCTTGCGGGTCTGACTCTCCAGGTCGTGCTCCTCCGGGATCTGCAAGCGCAACACCCGCCGTTAGACACTGATCGGCCAGAACCAGGCCCGTTCCCCGCACGCGCACAGAGGCTGGTCCGGCCCCTGCAGCCCTCAGGCCCGGCCCAGGTTCCTTCTCTGGTTAGAGGCCATGGAGGGGCGTGGCCGCAGCAGCTCC